ACTTAACACGCAAGGGCCATTACTTTCTTTGAAAATTCTTTATGTTCAAAGAAGGAGGGTATATTCACAGGTTTTGGGCACTAGGATGTTTGCTGAACGACTTGGAATAGAGCCATTACTCTATCACCATGTCTGAAACTAAATTCATGGTGCTCTTCTTTATTCAAATTCACTTTCCTTCAGGCTTTTCTATTTTTCTATATCAATAACTTAAGGCATAACTAACCATTTTCCATTACCAGACGTTATCCTAGAATCTTCCCTTTTACTCATTCCCCACATCAATCAACCATTTGGCCCAGAATCAATCCCTTCTGTCATTTCTTCCCGCTAAAGAGTGCTTAGTCTAGCCAGATGTGGTAGCACACACCTTTATCCCCAGCACTCACTAGGCAGAGTTCAGAGCTAGCCAGCCTCATCTTTGTAGTGAGCTCCAGGGCAATCAGAGCTACATAGTGAGACCCTGTCTCAAAAAGACAAAAATAAAATAATAATCAAAAAAGTCTAGTTAGTTCTGTGGGTGCCATCAAGCCCTGGTTTGTCCCAGCATCCTCTCTTCCTTTTCTACTGCTGTGACAGCTTCCTGCCACAGAAATGGTATATCTCAAAATGTGCCAGGGTGAAATTTGGGGGCAGGAAGTTTCTGGTTTGTTTTGTTTTTGTTCTTGGTCCTGGGCATTGAACCCAGAGCCTCTCGTGTGTCAATCAAGTTATCCCCCAGTCTTCCTTTCACTTTGTGGTTTGAGACAGTCCATAGCTGGGTTCCCAGATCCTGCAGGGGTTACAGTTTTATTTCTTCCTGGCCTCATCTGCTTCCAGGGAAGACATGAAGGCACAGTAAGACAACAAAGGCTGCCTGTGTGTAGACCTAACTCCTCAACATGTAACCACAGTCCATCAGCTCTATAGCGATATGAGCCCAACGCTGCTGGCCTGGTTACTGAGACTAAAGGTACTCTTGGCTTTGAGGAGCATTTTCCTGACACTGGCCTTCTGCCACTCCCTCACACTGCTAATTGTCATTTCAAACCTACCCCCTGCAAAGACAGGTCTCTCTTCAGCTCCACTGTCCTGCCATCAATTCTCCCGTCCATGTTCTGTCCTTACTAACCCACCCACACCCATCTGGTCAGGCACCAAGGCTGACCTTGCCCTGGAGCGTTTCTTACCCCTCCCCCATAGCTCCCACCATAGCCAGAAAACCCTATTTCACCTTCCTAATTGTGAACAGACTGGTGCTGGGTCATACTTCCCCCTATACTGCACTGCCAAACAGAGTCTGGAAATATTACTGCAGTAAAGTCACTCCCTTTATCCGAATCCCTCAGCAGCTCCTGATTCTGTGTTACATTGACTCCAAGCTTCCTTGTGTAGCCTTAAAGGCCCCCATGATGGGAGATGTCATTCTGAAATCTGTCTCTTATTGGTTGTTGAATAAAGCACTGTTGGCCAATAGAGAAGCAAGATAGGTGGGACTAGGAGTCGAGGAGGACTCTGGGAGAGAGAAACACAGGCAGACATCATGTAGCCGCCATAGGAATAAGAGGTCCGGACCCCTTTCTCTGGTAAGAGAAATACTTAGATTAATAATTATGGGGTAAATACTTAAGTCAGAGATAGCCAATAAGAAACCATGCAACCGGCCAACAGCTTCATAATTAATATAGCCTCCTGTGTGTTCATTTGGGACTGATGTGGCTCTGGAACCAGGCTGGCACAAAGGCTGCACTCTACACCCCCAGTAATTTGACTTGTACCTATCAAGTTTACATGAGTCTCTGCTGTCCCACCAACTGCCCCATTCATGTGTACCTACATGTGATTGATTTCGCAGACATATAGATCCATGTGTCAATGCATGATCAGTTTCACAGACATGTGTCAGTTTGTGACTGAGTTCACAAACAAGTGTGCCAATCCATGGCATGATCGATTTACTGGTTTTGATACCCTTACAACATGGTAAGTTAAAAGATTTTCGGGCCTTTCCAGTGAGAAGATGTCATATTTATTCACCCAATGATTCTCAGGACACTGTCACCAAACTGGGTACATGCATGGACACACACTTACACGCACACAACACGCCCAAGCCATTTGCTGTTTGTGCCCTAAATGTAAAACAAGGAATTCCCCAGATGCGTTTTAAATTCCAGAGCAATTACTACATCCAATTTGAAGAGCCAGAAGGAAGGATCATTCTGCCAAGTAGCTATTAGTGATGGGATTGCTTCAGCTTCAAAGTCTGTGCGGGATTAACTCCTAAAGTACTCAATTACTTTCCAGATCATGCCGTGGTGTCTCATGGCCTAAAGAGAGCCCACCATCTTCAAAACCTAAGGAGCCAGAAGAAAGGAAGGCTACATCTTCTCTTACATTGGAGGCTATGTCCAACGAGCTAGAAGAAAAGTAAAAATATCAAAAGCTTTATTTGTTTGTTTGCCTTAGACAAAACAGTATTCAATATCAAGTTTCTTTAAATAGATGAGAGATTTAGGTCAGTGCACTCATGGGTGTGTGACCGTTATAAAGACATCATCCGCGTTGAAGTTGCTTACTAGAGACTCACTAGAGAATATTGCATTGTCTTCAGAGCCAACACTGGCCTGACTGTGTGTTTTCACAGCAGAGCGTGGCAGCATGCAGAGCCGTGATTCAGAAGTACTAATGAGAGATGAATACAACACTGGTCAGGGTGAAAATCTTGGGGGGAAGGATGGGACACAGGCATGCGTCTTCTTACTTCTTCCCAGGCCCAAGACAATTGTGTGTCAGTCAGTCCATCGTGTGTTGAATTTGGCAGTATCCACCAAACTAGATGAGATTTCAGTTCATTGATAGACTGTGGTTTCCCTTTCATGATGCTTTTTCCCCCCTTTGGTGTTTTGAGGTTTTGGTGTTACAACCTTGGCTGACCTAGAACTCCCTCTGTAGACCAGGCAAGCCTCGAACTCACAGAGATCCACTGCCTCTGCCTCCTGAGTGCTGGTATTAAAGAAGTGCACCACCACCATTCTAAAGTCAACGGGACCACAGTCCTCTGTCCTTGTTTTTATAGATCAAGAAACTGAGTCCCATGCTGCCCTTCTGCGTGGTTGGCCACAGCCTGCACTCAGCAGATCCTTGTGGCCCTGATTCTGTCATCTATGGCCTTGGGGACTGACATATGGTTTCTTCTCTGAAATATTTTGCACAAAAATGATTTCATAATAAAGTAGCAATTTTATCAATTGGTAAAATTCTAAATACAATTTATTTCAGGGATTTATTGAATGCTACAAAAAATACAAAATGATCATGCACGTTGTTTCCCCAGGGCATGGCTTTCCCATTGCACTTGGGATGTACAGACCCGTGTGATTTCCCCAGACACGAGAAACTGACCTGCACGAGCCGTGGTAGTGTGACTGAGTTTTTGCTTCCCTCTGGTTAAAAGAAAAGAGGTGCGAATCTAAGATGGATGGGGAAAATAGAACTAGTCACGATGATAATACCAGCCCCTCTCAATTCAGAATACAGAAGACAACTTCCTAAGAATTCAGGGTGTCCCACAGTCATTTAAATCGGAGCTAAAGGAAAAATCACACGTCTGTAATTTCAGCATTTGGAGGTGGAGGCAGGAGGATCTAGAATTGAAGCCCAGTCTGGGAAATAGGAAGAAGTCCAGGGGAAGAAAGTAGGAAGGAGGAAAAGGAGCAGGAAGAGGAGGAGGAGGAGGAGGAGGAGGAGGAGGAGGAGGAGGAGGAGGAGGAGGAGGAGGAGGAGGAAAGGAAGGAGAACTCACTGGTGCCTTTTTTTTGTTGTTTATTGCTTGTTTGTTTTGTTTTTCAAGACGGGGTTTCTCTGTGGCTTTGGAGGCTGTCCTAGAACTAGCCCTTGTAGACCAGGCTGGTCTCAAACTCAGAGAGATCCACCTGCCTCTGCCTCCCGGGTGCTGGGATTAAAGGTGAGGACCACCACCGCCTGGTACATGGGTGTCTTTTAAGGACTCAAAAAATATTTATGCTTCTTTTCTGGATGCATGCAGGAGTCCTAGTACACTTTCCCTCAGCTTGACCTTTCATCAGTGGCGTTGGTCTAGCCTGGCCTCTCACCTCTCCCCTTTGAGAGTGGCCACACAGGTTCACTTTTCTTTACTATGCCAAAAGTGAAAATACCATCACCACCCACCGACTACATTAAGTGGGAGATGTTTTTACTTGGTTGCTATTTTAGTCAGTGTTCTATTCCTGTGAAAAGGCACGGTGACCATGACAACTCTTATAAGGGAAAACATCTATTGGGGGGGCAGCTTACACTTTCAGAGGTTTAATCCATTATCATTGTGTCGGGACACGGCAGTGTCAGGCACACATAGTGTTGGAGAGGTAGCTGAGTTGTACATCCAGATCAACAGGCAGCAGGCAGAGACAGACAGTGGGTCTGTCTTGAGCATTTGAAACGTTAAAGCTCACCCCTAGTGACACACTTCCTCCAACAAGGCCACACCTCCTAATCCCTGTCAAGTAGTGCCACTTCCTAATGATGAAGCATTCATATATATAAGCCTGTGAAGACCATTTCCTATTCAAACCACCACAGTTTCCCATTAAACATAATCTGCTTTCAAATATTCCCAATCTCTGTTACATGAATGATAATCTCTGGGGTTTCAAACCCAAGCACTGATAATTCGTAAAATCCCCCAGGTGCCGGAAAGGTGCAGGTGAGTTTACCATTGCCTTGAAGCAAAAGGCACTACTGACGTAATGCCACACTTCTGCTGAAGACAAAGCCAATGCTGCAGTTCAAAGGTTGTCAGTGGCACCCCATTGTCTTCAATGCTCTTTGCTGTAAGTTAGCATGCTCCTGGGGCAGAGATGAGATAACAAAGGGGCGGATCTCTGCTCTGCTCTCATGTTGGGTAGCACTGGCTTGGGACAGCAAATTTGTGTATACCTTTTCAATGGCACGATAGTGCTTATTCAGCCATGGCTGTGTGTTTACACCATAGAAATTTCCAAACACTACAAATCAGAATTGCTTATTAAATTTATTAGTCGAGTTTCCCACATTTGGGGAAATCGCAGGATCAGCACATCCGGAGTGCAATGGATAAGCCTCTCCCTGGGAAAACCACCTTCATGATCATGGTATTTCCCCTGCCAGGTAAGGTCAAATTTATCTTTTCTTAACGGCGTAGAAGTAGAAAAATTTTACAGAAATCAGTAGAAGTATAATAATTTTACAGAAATCAATAGATAACGGTATAGTACCACACAGACCTGAAGTTGTAGGCCTTGGTCAGACCTAAGAGGTAGAATCACATTTAGGTCATTAGTGAGTCAGAGGTTGGTTCTTTTACTCCTCTGGAGGTAAATAAGGAGAAAGCATTAAGCCAAATAGTAAAAATATGAAGAGTCTGCTGTTGTCATTGTGATCTTGGTAGCTTTGCACATAGCCATAAAGATAGTAAGAATTTGATTCAAAAAAACTGTGGTAGTTTGAATGAAATTGGCCCCCCAAAGCTCACAGGGAGTGGCACTATTAGGAGGTGTGACTTTGTTGGAGTAGATAATGGCCTTATTGGAAGAGGTGCATCATGGTGGAGGTGGGCTTTGAGCTCTTATATATGCTCAAGTCACCCCCAGGGCCTCAGATTACTTCCTGCTACCTGTGGGACAAGATGTAGAACTCTCAGCTCCTTCCCCAGCACCACATCTGCCTGCATGCCACCACATCTGCCTGCATGCCACCATGGTGCGACACGAGGATAATGGACTGGACCTCTGAAAATGTAAGCCACCCCAATAAAATGTTTTTCTTTTTAAGAGCTGCCGTGGTCATGATGTCTCTTCACAGCAATAGGAACTCCACTTGTTCCTCATGATTTTTGCCTAAACACCTGTCTGCATTTCTTTGGTTAAAGAACCAGAGGAAGTAGGCCAACACCTAGGGCTGAGCAGAGGTCACAGGCCATGTGACAGGATACAGATTAATACAATGGGTTAATTTAAGCTCTAAGAGTTAGTTGGAAACAAACCTAAAGTCAAGTTTTTTTAATTAATAAGACACCTCCGTGTAATTATTTGGGAGCTGGAAGTCCAGAGAAAATCTGAGAGAACTCTTTAAAGAATTCTGGAAAACTTCCACATCCGTCAAATCAGCATCTACACTTCTTTGTCGTAGGTTTCGTAGTTGCAAAAGCCTGTGGTCTACTTTACATTGTGCGTGTGCCCTTTTGTTGGAACCCGAGAACATTAGATTTGCTGATTCAATGTTTGTCAGTGGAATTTTTTCACCTTAAACCTTACCCACAGAGTCGGTTCTCATTGCCCAGCCAACCAGCTAACCAGCTATGCCTTTGGTTAGAAGAAGCCTTGATTTAATTTTCCAGCTGAAGTAATTCCATGTGAGTCTGCATGGCAGCCATGTTGCATGTGAATTCCAAAGTATAGAAAGCAAGGTAAAGAGCTGTTGCCCTTACTGTGCTCTGTGAGCCTGTCAGGCACTGCTTCCATCGCTGGGTCGCTCTTCAAACAGTCCTTCAGCGCCCAGGAGGCTTTTGTCTACTGGGGCCATGCACATTGTAGGAATTCAGATAGTGGGGGGGGGGTTGACTTTTTTTATGCAGAAAATCGAAAAAGTGATGGCTGGAAAAGGCAGACTGAGATGAGGGAGGGAAGTCAGTGAATTACAGCAGATCTCGAGGCAGCTAATTTTAAGAAAGAATATAAAGTGGACGATTTCTTTTGCATCATCAGAGAGTTCGTAGCCCTCAGAGGGTCGATTCACACATGCATTCGGAAACCTCAGCCTTGCAGTAAACTGTGCCCCGAACCCCTGGCATGGCTTCGGAGATGTTGAAAAAGAAAACTTTTTGGATTTAGGCAAAACCTTTTTTCTCTTAACAAAGCCTGGAATTATCTTGCTGTGAACTTAAGAAATTTAGTTTGACACCCTAAGCCGAGTAATGGCTTTGTTCTAGTTATGTATTCAGCTCCCCTGGAATGGTAGAACCCATTGATTCATACAGAGAGGGGTCATAGGGCACCGCCACTTATGGGGAATGAAAATTACTGTGGCTTAATATTTCAAGGGTATCATGCTGCTTTTATCTTTCATTTGGAACAGGGATTAAACTAACTCTGGGTTACAGGGCTGGCAGACTGGTGAGACACAGAAACAGATTTTGATGTAAGAAAAGGGAACTATAAAACAATGGAGTCTCCGTGCAGGAGATGTCACCTGGGGCCTCTGGCTGCTCACATCTAAGCAACACTGACTTCCCCACATGCCCCTTTTTCTACTAAGTAACTGTCCAGAGCTGGCTCTTTTCTTAGGAGTTAAAGTGACTCCAGGTGCCTAGTCCATCACATTTATTAGTCATACCTGGCATACAAATTCTTTTTTCATTTAAAATGATCATGGTTTCCTTCCCACATCTCTTCCATGATCCTCCCCACCTCCCCACCCATCCAACACTCTGCCTTCTTTCTCTCTTTCTTTAGAAAACAGTCATGCTAAAACAAAACTACAATGCCCCCCCAGAGTTAAAAAAAAGACAAAGAAAAAAAAAGCACACACATATACATGCACATAGACAAACATACACACATATACATACAAATATACATATATATACACATATACACAGATACACAGATACATATATACATCACACATACACACACATATAGACACATACACAGACACACACGTGTGTACATACACATATACACACATATACACAGACACTTGCACATACACACATACACATTTATATACATACACACATGCATATACACACAAATACACAGATGCATACACATGTATATATACATACACATAGATATATGCACACACATCACACACATATGCAAACATACACACACATCCCATAAAACCACAAAATAGGAAACTATAAACTATAAGCAAAGATCAGTAAGTTAAACGAAATGCCCAAACAAAGCAATATGAGACAAAAAGATCTCCATAAATACCCCTGAGTTCATTTTGTGTTGACCATCTACTGCTGGGCATGAAGTCTGTCCTTAAATGTGGTTTGTATATCTAGTTCAACTCCATTGGAGAAAAGTATGTTTTTCCTTTGCAAGCCATTGTCAATTGGAGATAGCTTCTTGGTTGGGATTAGGGGCTTGTATTCACTTCCATTCTCACCACTGGGACACCATCCGGCTTGAACCTGTGCAGACCACGTCATGCCGCCATAGTCTCTGGAGTTCATACACATGTCAGTACTGCTGTGTCCGGAAGACACTGTTTCCTTGGTGTCTTCCATCCCCTCTGGCCCTTTGAATCTTTCCATCTCATTTTCTGCAGGAGGAAGTTTCTCGGAGCAAGACGCTAATCAGTGGGTATAGCAGAATGTTGTTAGAAGTCATTTTGTTTTATGTTCCCTCAACTGAACTGCAGTATTTGGTTATTCCCTAGGACCATGGCCTATCGAGTCTCAGGTCCTTGGCCACCCAAGCAGTGTCAGGCATGGGCTTCATCTCAAGGAGTGGGCCTTAAATGTGACTGACAGTGGTTGGTCACTCTCACAACTTTTGGGGTCACTATTGCACCCGTGTGTGGTGCGTGCAGGTCGCCATTGTAGTTTGAAGGGTTTAAAGCTGGGTTGGTGATTATCTTTCTCCTCTGGTTGTGTGCAAGGTGCCTACCAGCATCATGAACACTAGTCAGTGGGGTTGAGGCTCTAGTTAGGCACAAGCTTGGCATTTTCGTGCTCAATGAAATATGTAAGTGTTGTCTTCAGCAACACTTATTATCAGGTTGTGGAGAACAACCAATAGTCTTGTCAAAAGCCTGAGCTGTTTGGGGCTTCCTATGTGATCCCTGTGGCCAACAACGTAATTGGATACAAGCCACTCCTAGACTGGGAGTTATATTTGGTGGCAAGAGATATTTAGTTGGTGTGTTGTTACACCCATTATTTGGTGACTCCATTTAGTGTTTTTTCATGTATGAGTATGTTTTAAGAAGCTTCTACCGTAGTAGGTCTCCATATGGCCCCTCAGATGGCCCTTAGTGGTAGTTGTCCTTCGTTTATTCCCTCCCTTACCCCATCTTCCTTACCCTCTCCATTTAACCCTTCCATTCCAGTCCCCCCACTCATCTCTCTACAACTATATATTCTATTTCCCCTTCCTTGAGAGAGCCTCCCCTTTCCCATAGTCCTTTACTTTATACCTAACCTCTACACTGGAGGCAGAGGCAGAGGCAGGCAGTTCTCTGTAAGTTCAAGGCCAGCCTGGTGTACAGAGTGAGTTCCAGGAATGCCTGGTTTACATGGAGAAGCCTTGATTCACAAAAGAAAAAAAATGGTAGCATACCTATCAAAGACTGAAAAGCTAACATATACATTTGAGAGATTAGATACCATATTTGTCTTTTGGAGTCTGGGTTACCTCCTGCAGGATGATGCTTTTTTCCTAGTTACATCCATTTACCTGTTAATTGCATGATTATTTCTGTCCATTACAATGGAGCAGCAATGACATGGTTGAGCAAGGGCCTCTGTTGTAAGGTACAGAGCCCTGCGGGTATCTGTCCAAGAGTTGCATAGCTGGATTTTAGGTAGATCTGTTCCCAGCTCCCTGAGGAGCTACCACACTGATTTCCATAGTGGTTGTACAAGTTGGTACTTCCTGCAGCCCCAGATATGTTTTCCTCTTACTCCTCATCTCTGCCAGCATGAGCTGCCATTTGTTTTGTTCATCTGGGAAATGAAATCCCAAAGTAAGTTTAGATTTGTATTTCCTTGATGACTAGGATGTTGACCATTTCTTTAAGTGATCATTTTGTTTTTGAGACCCTATCTCAAAAAAAAAAAAAAACAAGGTTGGAAATGATACAGGGATTGATAGAGTGATAAAGTGATAGAGCCAGCATTGACCTCTGAACTCCACAGAGCTCATGGAACCCTGGGAAAACTTCTAGCCATCTCCCCAGAAAGATGAACGTGGTCATCTCAGTCTCTTTCCATCACAATAAATGCCCTCTGGCTTTGGTTTCCTCTGCAATCACCCCCCCTTCATTCCTTTTATGAAGAACTCGCATTATTTTCTCCCTCTCATATAGAGCACTTTGCTATGAGCATGCGGTCATACTACGGGAGTATCATCATGCCCAGAGCGTGCCAAAATATTCCATA